ATCCAGCAACTGCATAGAAAGCGTCATCGAAACCAATCCAAAATCCTGGTGGGTTTGTTTTATGGAACCTGAACCAATTTCTTTATCTACAATAAATTGACCTTCCATTTTATACGTAATGAATGTATTGTAAAGGTCCAACATATTTTCACCAGGAGGTGAGAGATTGAATGTTACCCATGTGTTATCTTTAGCAGTTCCAGGTTGTGATGGAATCTTTGCGTCAGAATATTTTCTATTAGTGTCACCAATTTGAACTGCATTGTCTATGATATCGAAATATGAGCGAATCTGATGAATATGCTCTGCTGGAGTAAATTCGTTTAGCTGTTCGTTCTGCATGTATTTACTTCAGATAAAAATATCTATTTACTTCATTATTCTCACTCTTCTTCTTGGCATTCGTGGTGGAAGTTGTTTCTTGACATTTTCAATGAACTGTACATTCTCTTTTGTCTCAACTTCTTTCACTGGTGGGTCAGGGTTCTTTGACTCGGTTTGCTTTTCAATGAAATTCACGAACTTTGCAATAAGCTCTTGGTTCGTTATTGAAAGTACATCTGGCTTCTTTTCTTCTGGTTCTATTGACTTTTCAGTTTGAACAGAAGGTTTTATATGGGCTTCGTGGACTTCACCCTTACCATACACCTTAATGTTGTCGCTTTCTGCATTCGCTAATGGAACCTTTCTTTTTCTTACGTATATTTTACCATCTTTACTCTGACTTACGTAATAGAAAGGATGTTGTATTCCTCTTGCGTCATTTAATATAATAGACTCTCGCTCTGATTTTGACAAGCTCATTTTACATCGGTTAAAGTTTTAATTTTGTTTTTTATCTGCAGTCAAATGACTCAGACAAGCCCTACGGACAAGACCCAAGGGGTCATAGATGTTGAAGCATTGAAGAAAGAAATTCGTGAGCAAATTTTATCCGAACTGAAGGAACAAAAACAAGAACAAAAGCCAGAGAGACCAAAGAGAAAACTTAGTGAAAAACAACTTGCTGCATTAGCTGCTGGAAGACAAAAGAACCCACGTTTGCTGGCGAAGAAAGCTAGAGAAGAAGCTGAAGCAAAAGCTAAAGAAGCTGAAGTGAAGAAAGAGTAAATGGTTTATTTTTATTGGAACTAAATGTATAGACAAATACCTTTAACTGTTGCGTTCAGTAGTGAAAACCCTGACGTCAAAATAAAGGGGAACAGAGTAACGTTTAAGTTTCCAACAGACTGGATTGTGAACATAAATGAAGAGAAGTACATTGGCATAACATCTATGTATATAACACGTGCTTTCAGAAAGGTTGACTTTATACTTCAAGTCGAGATAGAAAATGACGAACAGTCTTTAAGCGCCCAAAACATTCACATATACAAATACTTTAAAGACGATACAACATTGTTGCAATGTATGATTTCGTTTAATGAGATGTTCGAGAAAAAGTTCAACATTGAAGTACAAACTTTACAGCCTTTACGTGAGTTTCTTGCACAACTGAAAGAAGAAGGTAGTCAGCCACAACTTATAGACTTTCATTATGAATTTAATGAAAATGAAGATGGAACTCATGACTGTCAATTCATTGTATTCTCACCATTCAATGAAGTCGCTAAAGAGAAAGAAAATCCATTACGTATAAGATTTCAAATCTCTGAACCAAGTGATGATTTCAAGAATGTTTTCAATTATGATGCAATGCTTCCGAGGAAAAATGAATTTTCAAAGATTGTAACACCTGGCATTTGGGATAGAAAGCAAGCTATATTATATTCAAACTTAAGTAAGGGAGTTGAAAATGAGTTCATTGGTCATACAAGAAATTCACCATTACCAAATCCTAAGTATTACAAGCTTACTGGCTTCAATCGTGAGTTTTGGATAGACATGTTCTCCACTCATGACCATAACTGCCCAGTGTTCTTACCTCCAGACCATAAGGACTGTCTCTACATTGAAGCACAACTCTTAAACTCTACCATCGCAGTATTGTAAATGACCACATGGGCTTCGCCTTGCCGCTAGCGGCTTATTTTTATCACGAATGACCTCATTGCTGACAAAAATAAATGACCTTATTATTTTTCTCATTCATGACCTCAGAACTTAAGCTTTCTTATGAATGAAGTCTTAGTCTGAATAGAAAAGTTAAACTTTTCAGCAAAGCAAGGACTAGAAGACTTACATAAGTCAAATCCAATCTCTTGACCATCATGAAGTGCTTTGTAAAGTTTCATAACACTGAACTCAGAGTCTTTGTCAAATTTTCCTTGCGGAACCATTAAACCTTTATCTTCATTGTAATAGCATTGTATAGCTTCAGGAAACATTTCATTAGCTGTTAAAGCAAGGACGTCTTGTTTGACACCTTTGCAACGTGCATGGAATGCAACTTCATTTAAATCATTCGTGAGTAAGTCTATGTAAGTCTTCTTTCCACAAAATATTGACTTGTATGCTAAACTTTGTTTTCCAGGTGTGATTTCTGCAAAGTCGCTATGAAATTGACCAAGGTTTTTACTAATGAGAACTCTTCCATAACGTTTCTCAAACTCTTCAGCTAAACGAGGGATATCTTCATTGTAGAGATGCATACTGTCGGTATCGCTATAAAAGATGTCCATTCCTAAGTCTTCAGCAGTACAGAATACTTCACACATTATTCTCTTCGACATAGACAGAATGTTAACACCAAGTGGACAGAAGTTAAAGTGTCTGCAAATGCTTTTCGTTAGCTTGAAAATAGTTTTATCTGAACCATCCAAACCTTCGAACTTCACTATATGGTTGTAGTTTCTGATGGCATATCTTATAGCATCTTTGTCATTTACTATGGTTATTTTTGACTCAATAGGAGATAGAATAGTTTTGCCATAAATACTGTTCAGAATGAGCTTTATATTTTCTTGCAAAGGATTTCCTTCTTTCTTATACTTTAACCTTAACTCAAACAACTTCTTTACTTCATCTCTTATTCTAATATCTCTGTTTCCATCGTAGTAATATCCTTGCAACACTTCACATTTGACACCTTGATATTTTATGAGGTCTTGTAATGTTATATGGTCAACATACATTAAACAGCAAGTGTTTGAACTTCTGGGAACGTTAAGTTCTGGATTTAGTTCAGGGTCACAAACTATTAAAGGAAAGTGTCTATGTATTCCAATCTCTGTTATCTTAATGAGAACAAAGAAGCCAGACATAAACTTTTCACCAATGGGTTCCTTTTGGTCATCATCGAATAAATGTCTCATGAGATACTCTGTGCTTAACATCTCATCCTTCAATACTTTTGGAATACCTTCTAAAGTATAAAGTCTTGCTATAGCGGATGGATATAATGAAACAGCGTCGAAGTCAGCAATGAGTTTCTTTTCGCTCTTTTGTTTCATGTTATCTGACAGCATACATCTTCCACCTTGAATACAGCGTGAAATAAATTCTCTTGGTTTATTTGAGAGGTCATATAAATTTCCATTCGGGAAGTACACTCTGTTCTCAAACAATTTGTTAGCAATAGAACAAATACTAACGTAGTCATAAACGTTTAAATCAAATTCTTTCATTAAGTCATTGCGGAACTTAACAAAACCTTCTCTTAAAATTCTTACATCTTGTTTGCAATAAAATGTGCTATATTTTTCTAAGTCGAAGTGGTTTTCATCTATTCTGCAACCTTTGATGGAATCTATGTTTTTCATGAATGTATCTGCATCCCGGATAAACTTACATGCTTCAGAAATGACACCAGTTCTGTTGTCATTTGCTAACAAAACACTGCTGTAGTAGTTGTATGGAAATACTTCTTTCGGTCCTGTTTGTAAGTTAAACATAGCAGGAAATAGTTTAAGCTTCTTATTTATAACACTGTAAGAGTCTTTTATAATAATTGCCCTTCCTTTATATAAGCCAGTTATTTGCATTGTTCGTGAACCTTTAATGATGGGAGTTCCTTTCACTTCTGTCATGTGTCTTAAGATGAAGTTTATGTCATAACTGAGGTTATGGAAATATATTAAACTCTTGTCAGGAAGTCGCTCCAAAAATTCTGTTGCACAGTTCTGACCCCAAATGCTTTCACTCACTGAACCATCTTCACTGTCATAACAGATGTTAAAGGCTTTATGAAAGCCGTCTGTGCTACACTCAAAGTCAGCAAAGAAAACGTGCTCAGGAATGAACTTGCACTTATTTTTATTTACTTCTTTTGACTCGGCTTTCTTCTTCAGTTGTACACAATACTTTGGAGCATATGTCAAATCTTTAAATGGTGCAAGGTTCTGTTTATATAAGTCAGTCGTATATGTGAAAAGTTCTCCATAAGAAATAGGTTCGAAATATTTGCACTCCCACAATGTTTTCATAACATCCCATAGCGGTGTAGTTCTATCCATGCGAACAATGTATTTACCATCTCTCATTGTATATATTTTCATCTGTTTCTCAATGTTCATTCCACCACAAGCTTTGAGAATTTCTTTATAGTTTCGAATGAAATATGTTGTCATTGGAAGTCTTTCATTTAACATGTAGTGGTCTTCAACAAGAAGTAAGTCAATAGTTCGAACAGTTTCACATTCTTTTGGTATGTATCTCTTTATTTCATTATGTCTTGAGTCATTGAAGTAACCAATGGTAACATTAAATGCTATACCTGTTGCGTCAGAAATTTCTTGTACTTTACTTTGAGGAAAGTCTCTAACACGAATGACTTCTCTCATGTGGTCAATAGTTTCTTCATTTACTCCAGCCTGAATGCAAGCATAAACGAAGCAGTTATCTTCTGTCATAAGTGTTGCAGTTCTTTTGTTCAGTTCATTGAAGATTTGGTAGCGTTCAAGATTTATAGGTAATGTGCAAAGATACTTCCAGAACTGACCGCTTCTTTTCTTATAAAACTTCTTTTCACCATTATCTTTCCAAAAGCTTTCTATAAGTGCTGGGTTTCCTGTTTGCTTAAGAGCTTCCAAAATGGCTTTCTGGTCATTTGTCAGTGTGCTTTCATCTCTATATGGTCTCTTTTTTGGTTTGCCTTTCTTTACATCTGACATCGTTAAGCCTTCATATTCTGTTAAATCATACATCTTTATTTCGGTAAGATTCTTTATGTTTGTCAAGAAGAAGTCATAGTGCATTTCAACAATACCTGCAGCATTTGCTTCTATCTCTGATATAAAGTTCTCCTTCAAGAGCTGATGTAGTAATGTTCCAATATTATTGAGGTTTAACGTAGAACATTCATACTTTCCACCAAGTTTATAACATACCATCCATCTTTGTTGGGAGTTTATTTTAATTTTCTCTAAGAGTCTCATGAAAACCTTACCGAAATGTTTGTGTAAGTAGTCTCTGTTTGGTTCATCTAAAGCTTCGATGTTAAAGTCAATGAGTCTATTGCCTGACTTCACATTTCTCTTCCTATTCTCTTCATCTTTCTTTAACCATCTCTCACCTTCTTTTGGTTTGTCGTCAATGGAACGAATGACATCGTTAGCTTTGCGAACTTGTTCTATAGCACTTTTAAACATCTCTCTTCTCTGTTGTTTCAGTGTGTCGTCTCTTCTTCTTGTTTCACCAACGTTTGCATTTGTTATGTCAAACATTTCTCTTCTTACTTCATGAGGTACTGAACGTCTATGATATAAGTCAATAGCAACGTCATTTAAAGGAAAAGTTCTTGCATGGACTTCGTCCTCGCCGCGTTGCGGCTTTATGAACTCATGAATTCTATCATAACTTATTGCACCATTATAGTCATTGAGGATGTCAGCGAGTGCCTTTTTGTTTGTTGCGTAATGCTTTGCAACATCTATGTTAGCTTCTGTAAGAAGTTGTTTTATTTCCGAGTGTTCTAACTTAGACAACTTCCGATACATCTTTAGTAGGAAATAAAAAAATATTTTTTTGAAAAAATTAGATTAGATTTTTTAAAGTTATTTTTCAAAATAATTTAATATTTTTATTTTAATGAAACACATGCAAGATTGCAAGTTCTTTTCATACAATGCTCTCGCTACTGCCATCAAGAATGAGTTCAATGGTGCTTCAAACGTTAATGTTATCTTTAACAAGAAGTTTGTGAAAGAATCTAAGTTTGGTCAGTATGTCAGACCATTAGCTATCGTCATTGACCGCAAACGTTATACTTCACAAGAGTTAGCAGTAGTTTTGAAACAAAAGAGTTTCTTCGTGAATGTCAAAGATACTCATTATACTGTCATAAAGAACTCTAACATTGACTTCTTCAGTATTGCTTTAAATCTTTCCGAACAGAAAGAATATAAGAAGGGTGAAACAAATGTGAAATATTATCCTTCATCTCTGAAGACAATAACGAACAAAGATGTTATACAGAAATTCTTACCAAAGGTTGAAGAAGCTTCTATTGACATTGACGAAGAAAGTGAAATGGTTGAAGAAATAGACCCTGAAGCTATTTAAGCAAAAATATATTTTTGGTTAGTCTTCATATCGATATTTTACAACAATTCCCCAATGTATAAACTTTTCATACGCTTTTTCATAAGCTTTATATACCTTCAGAAATTTTGCATAATCTTTAGAAGCATTTAGATATTGTTTAAATGCTTTATATACCTTCAGAAATTTTACATAATCTTTTACATGTTGTTCGTTCTCTTCTTCTGTCATGAGTTCCGAATATTCTAAATTCATGTTCTTTCATATGAGATAAAATTTTATAAAAAAATAAAATTAGCTTAGATTTTTTTTTATTCTTCCTCTTTGAAGTTATCGAAATATTCTGTTATTTTTTCCTTCAGTAATGGTAAGTCTTCTTTGAAGGTAAGAATTGTACAACCTTTAATATCATAGTGTGTTTGAGGAAGAGTACTTTTGACAATTTCCTTTATTTGCTCATTCGGTGTCATTGAAATCGGTAAGTTTTCGCGATAGAACCAGTTTCTGTCAGATTTATATATTTTAGCGAGGTCGTAAAAGCTTTTGTTGTTTCTTCTGACTAAATGCAACATAACCATATCTCTATCTTCTTCTTTCTCCATCTCTTCAGTATAAATCATATACTTATAGTTCTTTTCCTTACCTTTTGGTACTGAACGTGGTATTCTTTTCTGAATGCTTTTGTCTTTTGCTTCAATGACTTCATCTTTTGCTTGAAGTTTCTTTTCCATCTCTTCACGTTCTTGTCTATGAATTTCGTCAAGAAGTTTGTAAACATGCCATGCATAACGAGGCGAAGCCCACATTGCAACTGCATTTACTAAAAGTCTATGTACATAATATCCTCTTAAATTTATTGGCAAATTTTTACGATTTTCATGTGTTTTATGCAAGACCGAAAAAAGTCGGTCTAGAGAAATTTCACTCAAAAGTTCTTGTGTGCTTTGGTTTTTGAACCAGTCGTCTGCGTGTTTAGTGTCTGGAGCAAAACATGCTGTCAAAATACTTTGCATTTGGTACATGTCATCTTTGACTGAACGAATGAGACGGAGTTGTTTGTTATACTGTATGTACTCATATTCTTCATTTATGGCTTCATGAACGATAGCAGTTGTTGTGTTCTCTGTTGTTGACATATCTGTCTTTACATACAAAATAAAAAAATAAATAAAAATAAAACTAACTTTATTTTTTCTATCTTAAGGAAATTCATGATTTTCATACGGAATCTCTTCTCTCGGTTTTCCAAGGGAAGCAATCTTATGCCATTTTACTCAGATTTTTGTGCTGAATTCAGCAAAAATATATTTTAGGGTAGAAGGTTAGATCTAACCTGTTTTCTAACCTGTTTTCTCACCTCTTTTTTTCACAACCGTTTTACATGGTAAACGTTATTTTTACATTATGACACGAAGTGAAGGTTTGCACTTCGTCAAATTTTAGCGTTATTTTTACATTATGACACGAAGTGAAGGTTTGCACTTCGTCAAATTTTAGCGTTATTTTTACATTATGACACGAAGTGAAGGTTTGCACTTCGTCAAATTTTATAAAAAATTAGCGTTATTTTTACATTATGACACGAAGTGAAGGTTTGCACTTCGTCAAATTTTATAAAAAATTAGCGTTATTTTTACATTATGACACGAAGTGAAGGTTTGCACTTCGTCAAATTTTATAAAAAATTAGCGTTATTTTCTGACTTTCACAAAAGACCAAAAATAAACGCTTTACATGTATTTTTCAGCAACTTCGTCAAATAATTTTATAGCTTTATCTATCTCATCTACTTCAAACGTTTCTTTACCTTTTATGGGAGCACCATACATTTTCTCAAACTTTTCAAGTAGTTCTGTTTCTGCAGCTCTCATATCATTAGCAAACACAACCTTGACTCTATTGACTGTACTGTCATATCTTTGAGTTATATTATATGTTCTTCCTATCTTATATCTTTTTGTATTGAAGTCCTTCGGTTTCTGAACGATGTAAAGTAAGCCTTCACTGCAACGTTCCGTATCGAATGAACCATATGTTATGAAGTTATATCCAACAACTGGGTCTAACCATAACAAAACTATTGGTATAAGACTTTTGTCTATAAGATATGCTGTAGTTCCATAGAATCTTACCGATATCATAAGCTCAGGATTTCTTGTCAAAATTTTCTGAGTTGAAGCATTTCTAACCCAGTCGTGTGTTTTCTTTCCAGATGGAAATATAATGTCTGACAAAGAATATTTGTTGTATTTCTTTGAGTCTCTTACGTTTAAATCACCTATTCTAACCAATTTGGTGTCATTGTCTATCTTTTTAACTGTTTCAAACTCAATGTTTGACATATCTGTCTTTACATACAAAATAAAAAAATAAATAAAAATAAAACTAATTTTATTTTTTCTATCTTAAGGAAATTCATGAAATTTCATACGGAATTCAGCAAAAATAAAGTTTATGTTAGCATGTTAGATCTAACCTGTTTTCTCACCTGTTTTCTAACATGGTCTAAAACACACAAAACTCATGATTTTTGGTCATTTTTCAGCAAAAATATATTTTAGGGTAGAAGGTTAGATCTAACCTGTTTTCTCACCTGTTTTCTACCCCAGTTATTTTATAAGCGTTTTACATGGTAAACGTTATGAATTCGTGAGACTCTAAACAGTTTTGTAGCTTCTATTTCTTCTTTTAGTACATCGAATGTTTTAACAATGCCGAAAGTTTCTTTATATTTCTTCTTGACGTCAGATAGAAGGAAATCGTCAGCAGTTGGATAGTTTTTGTTCAGAAATTCTAACATGTCCATTTTATCTTCTGCTGGCTTTTCTGCTTCTTTCTTTAAATCTGCATAGTCGTTTCTCATTCTTTCTATCTCTTTGACGGAGTAGTTATATTTCCTAATTGCCGCTTTACATTTAGAACATTGCGGGTTCATTTTTGCGTTATATTCTGAAACCTTACCTGCTAGAACAACTAAAGCGTCAATTGCTCTCTTCATCTCAAACATAGCGGGTCTTATTTGTTTGTTCCATACTTTGCCTCTTCTATCTTTATCTCTTATTTCCCAAACACATTCAGCAACTAACGAAACAAAGTTGTCGTAGGTCTTAAATTCTTCAGATTTATATATGTCAGAAACATTCTTATATACCATGTCGCAATCTTTGTCCATAACCTTATGGTTGCAATGAAATCCTAGAAACTCATAGTTTACCTTTCGTATGAACTTCTTTATTTCTACTGAGTCAGTTGCTTTGACTTCAATTTCGTCGAATTCAGGAATAGTTAGTTTTTGTTGTTGGATTTCAGGCAATTTGGGCAAATGGTCGATGAGGTCCTCCATTTCATAAAGATACTGTTCATTTGTTTCATCTTTCGCACTACAGTCTAAATTACTTGTTAAAAGTTCTTGCTTTATCTTCTGGATTTTTGTTTCGAAAGTATATGAAGAAGGAATGAAGCTTTTCATTTCTACTAACATAGATGTTGGATTCATGACTAACGAGTTTGGTGCTGTTGTTGTTTGAAGTGTTGTAGAACCTATTGTTGAAATCATATCTTTTATACAAAATAAAAAAAATAAAAAAATAAAACTAACTTTATTTTTTATTTCGGGAAAATTCATGAAAATTCAAGAGGGTAGAAATGAGGGTAGAAAACAGGTTAGATCTAACCTTCTACCCTAAATTATATTTTTGGGTCCTTTACACTCATTACGAAGAAGTCATGACAAAACATTTACGAAGAAGTCTTGACAAATTCAAGAGGGTAGAAATGAGGGTAGATCTAACCATCTACCCTAAACATTATTTTTGGTCATGGACTTCGTCCTCGCCGCTTTGCGTCTTTATGTTAAAATAAATGGTACCATTAATGATATCATGACTGTTCTCATTCATGTCTGATTTACATCTAATGAAAAAGTTTAGAAGAATTTTCTTATTCTTTCTGGCATATTTTTGTCTTTCCAGTACTCCCGCTCTAATGGTCCCAGATGTGTTGGCTTTGACTCTCTCAAGTTCTTAGATGGTATAACATCTTCAACACCTCCTTCATATCTTACTTTATAAGTGTCATCGTTTGTGTTATAGTCAAGTATTTCAATAACCACTCCTCGCTTTGCTTCGTCAATGGTTTCAGCAAGTTTGCCATTACTACTTTCGACTAATTTATGACGAGGATAAAACGCAATAGAGTCGTCAGCAGCTTTTATAAGATATCCATTACCTTGCGTAGAGTCTACGATATAATAATTTTGACTTAACCTTAAACGTTTCTTTGTCAACGGTTTGTCGTCAAGAACTACACGAACTTTTGTACCAGGAATGAGGGTAAATTGTGTTGAATTTCTGATATTTTGTGTTTGGCTTCGTTTCTTTTGTATATACTTTTCTTCTTGTTGTTGTGTCATTGAATTTGGTGTATGTCCTGTTGTAGAATGTGTTGAGGAATTATATACTTCGAGAAAATGTTTCATTGTTTCTTCGGTAAAGTCTCGCTCTTGGTTTAAATCTCTGAGCGTTCTTATGAAGCGGTTTATGATGCCGAGTATGTTATGGTTATGGTCTTCAGTAGTGTAGTGAGTTATGTTATGCTTAATGAGAAAATCTGTGATTTCATTGCTGAGGTATGCTGAATCCTGGTCTGATGTTAAAGTACTTGGGTTATGTTCTGCTACAAACTTTTGTAAAACTCTTAACACTTCACGAGTTCCTTTATTTTTCATTGGATATGCATATGCTTTACGAGTGTTAACATTAATGAAGATGAGGAATGGTTTATGTCCTCCTTTTCTGCTTTGAATGAGAGTGTCAAATTGGTATGCGTCAGGAGCGTTGGAGTAAATTGGTAAAAAGTAGTCGTAAGGGTTTATTTTTGTTTGATGTACAACATTTTTGTCAAAGAACCTTTTCACTTCAGCTCTGTTAGTAAATCCCCAACTTTTTGCAGCTTCATTGAACTTCTTAAATGACCTCCATGGATGTTGTTCGAATACTTCTTTCAAGCTCATTTATGTAAAGTTAAATTTAGTAATTTCATGCTGTTCGCTCTTTTGGAGCTCAGGACTTTCAGGCCGTTCTAACCCATGCATAAACCGTCATATAAGGTGGCATATAGTCTGCTCCACTTCCTGTTGGATTTGTTGTGAAAGTATGGACATGATTTCCTCCTGGTTCAGTTTGTCGAAAAGTCTTTTTTGCTGAATGGTTATAATCTGGAGATAAAACGTCATTGCCAGCTTTATATTCTGAGTTGTATAATGGATGGTCTCGTAATGAGTGGCTATGGTCGCCAGAAAAGTTTGTCGTTCCTGTATGAGTGTGCGGTGGAAGGTTTGCTTCAGTAATTTTCTTCGAACCTCCTGTTTGCTTTGAAGAGTTCGCACAGTATAAGAATTTATCTACAATCTGCTCCCACATACCAAAACCTAAAACTGTTTCTGGATTTGTTGAATTCATTGACGTATAAATAGAACCTATAGGATATAATGTTTGAAGTATTTCTGTCTTTAATGTTTGAAGCTCTGTTTTGTCTGCTTTCTTATCTAACATTGTTGGTAGTTCATATGCTTCAAAGTTTCTGGCATGATCTTCGATATTCCTGCAACTCTTATCTAAATTGTTAAGAGTATCTTTTACGCTTGTACTTGGATTTTCTAATGGTGCACTTGAACCAAGGTCAAAGTTCAATATTATGTCGTCTGCTCTAACAGTAGTGAAGGATTTATGTGTATGGTTCTTGTCGGCTTTCTTATCTAACATTGTTGGTAGTTCATATGCTTCAAAGTTTCTGGCATGATCTTCGATATTCCTGCAACTCTTATCTAAATTGTTAAGAGTATCTTTTACGCTTGTACTTGGATTTTCTAATGGTGCACTTGAACCAAGGTCAAAGTTCAATATTATGTCGTCTGCTCTAACAGTAGTGAAGGATTTATGTGTATGGTTCTTGTCGGCTTTACTGTCTAAAGAAGTTTGAAGTTCATTTATATCGGAGATATTGTGTTTATGAGATTTCAAAACTTTGTTCGTTGCGTCAAGTTCAACTTTGTCAGCTTTACTTTTAATAGCATCTTCAAACGTTATTTTTGACTTAACTCTCAAAGTAAATCTTGGTTCAACTAATACACCGTTAACATTGAAAGTAGAGGCATAAATTTCACCGGTATAACCAAATGCTTCTGGTGCTTTAGCTACATCATACTGTACAGTACAGCTTATGTCATAACCTTTAGCACGAATGTATTTATATCTTCTTTCATTAACATTTTTTGTCTTCGCTTCATCACTTCGTGTTAAATATCCATGGTAGTCCGTTATAATCTGTTCATCTGAAGTTATATAATGAACGTGGTTTTTATCTGCTTTTTCGGCTAATTTCTCTTCTATCTCATTTATTTCAAGTTCATGCCTACCACCACCTCCTTCAGAAGTATTTTTCTTCGGCTCTTGAAGAACGTCCACTTCGCCATCTTTGGTGTCAATAATGAGACTTTGAGTTAAAACCTTTCCTGTCTTAATGGATGTTTGTAAAACTTCTTCTTCACCGTGTTCGGGATCATGGTCGTCATCATATCTTGTGAAATCAGAGATGTTGTCATACATTAAGCATATCTGTCTCAAAAGTTCTGCTATTTGAAACTGGAACGAAAGATATACAGAACTTTCATCATCTCCTAAAGTCAAGTCTGCTTTCTTAAGTATTTCTTGAATGTATGCAATGAGAACAGAGTACCTTGGAAAATATTCGAACAATATTTCATTAGCTGTTGGTTTTGGTGGTTCTTCTGGAGTTTCTGTTGTTTCAGTTCCTTCTGTAGGTTCTGTTGGAGTTTCTGCATCTCTTGACTTCAATGCTCTTGCTCTCAAAGACCTAAATGTTAGAGCACCGGGTTTTACAAAGGACTTTATAAATGCTTTAATAGTTCCTGGTAAGTTATTGTTAGCATTAAGTAAGTTCCTTATGCTTCCATCATGTACGTCCATAGCACTATGTAAAAAATCTATACTTTTCTTGTAGTCAGCAATAGACTGACTGTGATTTTTTAAAGATTTGTCAATACCTTTAAGCCAATCTTCATGCATGTCTGATACTGAGCCAAGAATATCATTTGCTTCCTTTAGTGTATTTTGTGCTTCTCGTAAAGTATCCAATCCCGTACGTGCATTGTTTGCTATACGTCTTACAGTATCTATTTGACTCCTTGTTTCTTGCATCCAACCAGATAAAGTTTTAATAGTATCAGAACCATTTGAAATGAAGTTCAAAGCATTTTTAACGTCATCTAAAGCTTCTTCACCAAGTACTGCCCATATCTTTCCGATTTGGTATTGAAGAACTCCATATGAAGCAGCTGTTAAACCAGTATTTATAAGGTCCCATATCCATGATTTAGCAGTTTTTCCATCCTTTCCATCCTTTCCATCCAAACCGTTTTCGCCTTGAGGTCCTTGTATTCCTTGTATTCCTTGTATTCCTTGAGGTCCAGTGTCACCCTTCTCTCCTTTCAGTTCATCTTTATGTTCGTTATAATATTCTAATGTCATAAGGTGTACATCATTACTGCTACCAGCAACGCCGAGAATTTGTTTCTCATTCATGACTAAATTCTTTAGGCATTTAATGTTGTCGTCAAATCGAAAGCTCTTTAACAATTCAATGAGAACATTTAATACTTTCACTAATGAGGCATCTACTGTAGAATTTATATATTGCACCGTTCCATCATTTATGATAGGAACTTTACTTATTGTAATGAATGGGTCATACGTGTTAAAAGTATCGAAATCAATGACTTTTTTAGTTTTTCCATCGTCAATGACTAAATCATTGCCTTCAATGGTTAAAGTTGAGTTTTCGTTTACTAGTTCATGTGCTCTTCTTGCTTCATTTGTTTCATACGCATATGCAGCAATAGTCATATTTTAATGAGAATAAAATGTTGTTCTATTTGCAAAGTACAGACCCAAACGAATATGGAACAGTCAAGCTACAAACAAACTTAGGTCTACAGAATGAAGCACTTGCTTTCAGAGTTGTTGACTTCAATACTATCGCAACTTTTGTCATAACAGATGAAACAGATTTCATAGAGATTGAAATAGATGACAAAAGAAGTGTTATAACATTTCCTAACAGAGTTGGGTATAGAATAGATAAAATTGCTGGAGTGTTAAATGCTCTCATAAATGAAGAAACTATTGACAACATAGATGTCGAACTCTCTTCTGAGGGAACATTGAAGTTCAGTAGCAAGAAAGAGTTCAAGATAACACGAATGAGTCATAGAGTTCAACTTCTTTTAGGAGCATACCATATGACATTTCCTTTGAAAAGTGTTGACAAAACGATTGAGATGAAATCTGTTCCATACGTATGTTATGGTAATTGTTTGTACATTGAGTCTAAAATAGCTAATGTCACAGGCATTTCAGGAGTTAATAGTAAAGGTTCAGTAGAATATAAATCCTTCTGTTATGCAGTCAATTCAATGTTCATTCCAAACGTTCCTGTCATAGCAACTCATTTAGGTAAATGGGTTCGCATTAGTCCTCATAATTTGAAAGACATGCAATTCAGACTTGTTGACTTTCAAGGAGAGCCTGTAGAACTGAAGGCACCAGTGCGAATGACTGTTGAAGTTGACTTTTTAGAAAATATTAAATGCAACAGCTTACAAGAGAACTCAGAGCTAAAAATATAAAGTATGAATGTTATGTATTAGGTCATGAACTTTGGTTGTTGCTGTTTGATGAAACAAATGAGTTAGTTATGTCAGTCAAGAGAACAGAAAAATATTGTGTTAGTGAAAACTGCACCAAGTCAATAAGATTAGGTTTGCATTATGAAGATGAGTTCGATACTGTTGAAGAAGTTTTGGATAGATACTATAAGTTGCTTTAATTTACTAAAACATATTTCAAACAAAGTTTATAGTCAGTAGATAGTTTTGTATACTCGTTCGAATATTTATACTTAAACTCAACTCCTGTAGTTCCTGGTGTTTCAATGATGCGGATGTTACCTATTTTCATGAATAGTGGAGTTTGACCACAGCATTCGATTTCAGGGTCGAGATAGTCAATGACACATTGTTTCCCTGTTATTCGTGATATAACATTTTCAAGGTCCTCCTTTGTTAGAATTATTTGGTTCTTGCTTATAAGATTTGTCAAAAGCTTCTTATCGTCTTTGAGTAAAATTGTTTGGTATAACTGAAGAAGGTAATGGTCTACGTTATCTGAAGGATTTGTTTGAACATTTGTGTAAGGGTTGTCGTTGGCTTCTCTTGAAAGAATTTGGTCCAGTGGTGGATACTCTAACTTAACATCTGATGTAGCGTTAGCGTTTGAAGCTGAGTTTAAATTCACCGACTTAAGTTCTGGTTCTGGCTCTTTCAAACACTCTGAACTATAGTTCTTTATGACAATATTGTTTGTCGTTCGTGAGTCAACATTTGATGTTGGTTCAATTGGAACATTAACGGCACCAGCTAAGATGGATTTGCTTCTCATTTCATATAGAATAAAAACCTTTTATATGTATGAAATGAACAATATACTCGACAAGGGTTTGAATGTAAAGCTAACGAATGAAAATATTGTTGAATTCACTGAGACAGGTGCTGTGTATAAAGATGTAGAACTACTGAACAAAAGAGCTAAGGGAAGAAGCAGGAACATGAACAAAGGGTGGAAGCCTATAAAAATTTATGTCAATGATGGCTCAGGAGGTTCAAACATAAAGTATGCAGAAAGTTATAGAGTTTATGCTCTCAAAGGTGAAAAGCCTTCATTTAAGAACAGCTATTCTAACGCATATCCTCAAAAGCTAACGGATGGGGAAGTGGATGATATGAATGACAGCAAAAATATTAACAGAAATGGCGACAGAGATGCATGGAATTTGTTTACCATCAGTCAATTGAAGGTTAAACTTTAAAACAATGTTGGTCGTTCCCATGGAATATTTTTGACTTTAATGGTATTAGTCATGATATGAATCTCAAGGTATGAACGAGGAGAGATGAGAGACTTATATGCTTCCCAAATTTCTTCAAAAGGTAATGTTATACCTGACTGTTTCCAAATGAGTTCAATATCATAACGTGAGAAACCTTGAAAGATAACGAAGTCAGTTATGAGACGTTTTATGTTTAAAGCTAAAAACCTCCATGTTTGCATAAGTATTGCTACAGTTAAATGGTAATGTCTGACTTTAGTAATGATGTTAGCTAATGGTGAGTCTGGCTTTGAAACTAAACCTTTACCAGCGAAGTCGTCACAAACTAATAAAGTGTTTGATGGATATTTTTTGAAGGGGTATTTTGAAAGTTTTGATAGAATGTAGTTTGTCAGTCGTTTCATATCGTAAACTCCTGAGTACTGACGTAAGTGGTGTTTGTCAATAATTCTTTCCATCTCCTCAGAAGTCTTTTGCATTCCTGACTGTATAAATTCAACGATGGCATAATATTTCCTCTTACGTCGAATGTAACGTTGAAGAAATTCAATGAGTTCACTGTCTGGAACTTTAACGACAGAGGCTTGAACTTTTGACATAAATGTTTTCGCTGTTGAGTCCATAGAGTCTGAAGTTGCTGATATAATGATTTGGTCATAATATGAGTCATTTCCTAAACGTTCTGTTATGAGTATATGACGAATGAGGTTAAATGTCTTACCTGAGCCCATCTTTCCACAATAGAAATAAACACCATTTGAACAGAATTCATAATCTTTGCTGAAAGGAAGAATGAGAGAAGAGTTAAGTTTGTCTGTAGTTTCATTCATGTCTTCATCTACGTCATGTATTAAATGCATCATTTTATCTCCATTAAAAATGCAAGTCAGAAATATTCAGAACATAGCACCGAGTCTAACTGACAAGAGTATAAAGATATACTATGAACACGTTATGATGAAACCAACCAAAATTCAAGAAAGTCAGTATACTTATGAATATCCAAGACACTGGGTAGAGTATGTAGGAGGTGAGAAAGCTATTGAAATAAGACAGGTTCGAAGTATTCCAGCAGGAAGAACAATATTATTGAAGAACTTTAATGTTTTGAGGTATAATGATGAAACAAAGAAGCAAGATAGTTTCCCTGTTGCTGTGTATGTGAACTTAGATACAGGAGATGACATGAAAGTTTTTAACACAAAGCTTCAAATGGTAGTGAGAGAACAACTGACTGCGGAAGGACATCCATTACCTTCAGAAGTTACCATAGCATATAATTTTGAAACAAACTCAATAGATTTTAAAGTCATCTCTGCAAAGAAGTCAGGTTTTACATTTAATGAAGCAGATGTATATTCGAATGAAAACTTCAAAGCTATTGCATGGTTAGATAATGACGATTGCTTTAAGAAAATATTTAAATACAGTGACTCAACGATGTCAATAGATGACCTTCGTGGAATGTTACCATCGACATTTACAGTAGAAGGTTCAGCAGGATTGCTTACAAGATTGTCAATTGGTGGTATTTGGTCTCGTGAGAACATTGTTATAAAATCCAGTATAAGTGAATTTGCTGAAGAATCTATATTATGTCTTTCAAACTACATGTATTCGCCGCCGAAGCATTATAGTATAA